ATAGTCACAAATATATTTTATTTACAATGTACTGTTAACAATAACTTTATTTGTTTTGGAAACATTAACGTCCCCCCTCTCTATTTACGTAAAATGGTTCAGTCCGACTGGATCAGCTGCAGTGCGCCGGTAATTTGTCACAGGCAGCGGGTAAGGAGGCGGAGACGGCAATATGCCTCAAAAATCAGGTAGCCAAAAACGGAAAGAAAGGAAGCTAAGAGAGGAGAAAGAAGCAAAGGGTTGACCATATGTCACCCAGTATTTAAAAAAGCAAGGGTGGGTTTGTTAGTGGTTCATGTGGTGGAAAGTTATGGAATATTAACTTTGTCCATGGTGTATAAGCTAGCTCACTTTTCTCCCCATGTTAACTCATATTTCTGAAGAAAACTCTGGATTTTTACATTTCAATGTTGTTTTAGTCAAATAATTAATACAGTCAAACATTTAGCAAGCTGCTCATATTCAATCAGTTGACCTCCCCACTGTCAAAATGATGCCTCGTTCCGAACAGATACATCAAGTGCAGCAGCAGCAGCAGCAGCTGTCTGTCAGCCCCCAACTCCACCTGCCCCTGAACCAGTACCCCCACATGAGGAAGGAGGTGAGCAGCTGTGTGTTGAATTAATAATAATGATAAACTTTATTACAGACTGGTTTAAAAAGCATATGTGTGTGTATATACACTGAACAAAAATATAAACGCAACACTTTTGTTTTTGCTCCCATTTTTCATGAGCTGAACTCAAAGATCTAAAACATTTTCTATACACATAAAAGACCATTTCTCACAAATATTGTTCACAAATCTGTCTAAATCTGTGTTAGTGAGCACTTCTCCTTTGCCGAGATAATCCATCCCACCTCACAGGTGTGGCATATCAAGATGCTGATTAGACAGCATGAATATTGCACAGGTGTGGGTCTGGGGGGGTCAGAAAACCAGTCAGTATCTGGTGTGACCACCATTTGCCTCACGCAGTGCAACACATCTCCTTCGCATAGAGTTGATCAGGTTGTTGATTGTGGCCTGTGGAATGTTGGTCCACTCCTCTTCAATGGCTGTGCCAAGTTGCTGGATATTGGCAGGAACTGGAACACGCTGTCGTATACGCTGATCCAGAGCATCCCAAACGTGCTCAATGGGTGACATGTCCGGTGAGTATGCTGGCCATGCAAGAACTGGGATGTTTTCAGCTTCCAGGAATTTTGTACAGATCCTTGCAACATGGGGCCGTGCATTATCACGCTGCAACATGAGGTGATGGTCGTGGATGAATGGCACAACAATGGGCCTCAGGATCTTGTCACGGTATCTCTGTGCATTCAAAATGCCATCAATAAAATGCACCTGTGTTTGTTGTCCATAACATACGCCTGCCCGTACCATAACCCCACCACCACCATGGGCCACTTGATCCACAACATTGACATCAGCAAACCGCTTACCCACACGACGCCACACACGCTGTCTGCCATCTGTCCTGAACAGTGAAAACCGGGATTCATCCATGAAGAGAACACCTCTCCAACGTGCCAGACGCCATCGAATGTGAGCATTTGCCCACTCAAGTCGGTTACGATGACGAACTGCAGTCAGGTCGAGACCCCGATGAGGACGACGAGCATGCAGATGAGCTTCCCTGAGACGGTTTCTGACGGTTATGCAAACTGATTGTTGCAGCAGCTGTCCGGGTGGCTGGTCTCAGACGATCTTGGAGGTGAACATGCTGGATGTGGAGGTCCTGGGCTGGTGTGGTTACACGTGGTCTGCGGTTGTGAGGCCGGTTGGATGTACTGCCAAATTGTCTGAAACGCCTTTGGAGACGGCTTATGGTAGAGAAATGAACATTCAATTCACGGGCAACAGCTCTGGTGGACATTCCTGCAGTCAGCATGCCAATTGCAAGCTCCCTCAAAACTTGCAACATCTGTGGCATTGTGCTGTGTGATAAAACTGAACATTTCAGAGTGGCCTTTTATTGTGGCAAGCCTAAGGCACACCTGTGCAATATTCATGCTGTCTAATCAGCATCTTGATATGCCACACCTGTGAGGTGGGATGGATTATCTCGGCAAAGGAGAAGTGCTCACTAACACAGATTTAGGCAGATTTGTGAACAATATTTGTGAGAAATGGTTTTTTGTGTGTATAGAAAATGTTTTAGATCTTTGAGTTCAGCTCATGAAAAATGGGAGCAAAAACAAAAGTGTTGCATTTATATTTTTGTTCAGTACATATATATATAACTTTTTTGTTAAAATTCAGCTATCGCTGAAATAGAAGAATTACAGTAGGAACAGAGGAGAAGGAGGACTGCTCTCAGTCCAATCAGAGAAATGTTTACATATTCTGGAAATCAGAAGATTAAATAGATTAACGACCATATAGCCTCATATATGTATTTTTTCACCCCAAATCCAATGCCACCACCTGTGAGTCCTGGAGATAAATTAGACCTACAAGAGGGAGACAGTGAGCAGTGGGGGATTGTTAGTGAAAATCGCATTTCTTTTGTTATTTTTGGTCAAATCACTGAAAGCACCTTTAAGTAAAACAAAATGGTGGGAGGCCACCTGAAATGGTGACTATGATGCTATTACAATAGTTAGGCTACATTATAGGAAATACTATATAATTTATGTATGTCACGTACACTCTACAGAGCCTGGTCCAGGATCCTCTTCAAGTTTGTCGGGAGGAATGTGGAAGTGGAGGAAGAGGTTCTTCTTTTTTCACAAATATGGGAATGATAGTCAAAAATACCATCAAAATGCATAGTTTTATGTAAAATAGCATCAAAAATTTTCTGCTGTGTAACACTCCCAGTAAAAATTCTTTTTATGGGGCCCAAAATCCCTGCCAGCGCCCCTGGGTTTAGGACACCTGTTAAAGATTACCAACAAGTTTTATGACAATTAGACAGATACTCATTCATTTATGTCCAAATCTCTACACTTAGTTACCATCACAAACTCTGTCACTTCCTATTGGTCAGCTGCAGAAACATTTTGTGGACATGCTTTTATGGCTTAGTTAAAAGACTCCACTGAGTTTGTTGATGTTTGAATAAACCTTCATTGATTTATAGCCAATTTTTTTTGTTTTTTAAAAAAAAAAAAAGACCATTGCACTTGTTTGGAACTTGTTGTGCCCCCTATTGACCGATTTCAAAATAATATGGTTCACTTGGTTCATCATTATTATTTAACATACCCTGCAAGTTTTGTAAAGACTGGAAAATCAATTTATGATTTCTAGTCTGATTTGTATTATCCCAAGTCCATTTTTTTGTATTTGTGGTGCCCCTAGTGGTTATAGATATATATTATATATATTATATATTATAGATTAACATCTATAAGAGATATAGATGTTAATTAATTTTACATATTCTAAAAAATATAGAGTGACATACTTCTGAATTGACTACAGGTTGCACTGTAGACAATTTCAGCTGTGTAGGACACACAGGTGATTTGATTTTTTTGAAGTATGGACTGTGAAATGTCTTGAAATTTAGAATTAATGGAATAAGCCATGCCCCCTTTAAGCAATCATTTTCAAATTTTGTGCATCGACTGAGATGTGACCCTAGATGATGCAAACCATATTTAGTACAAATATCTCTGGCTGATTATAAGATATAAAGTTTTTGCATGTACAGCACCCCCTATTGGTTGATTTGTATCAAACTTTCAGGTTATGATGCAGTTACTTATATAGACATTTCCTACAAGTTTTGTGATGATTGGCTCAACGGTTAAGGAGTAAAATCCATTAATGTACTTAACCAAGCCCCCTCTAAAGTTCATTGGTAAATATCATCAAAACTTAATGACATATCAAACAAACCTTTGATACCTTTTAAAGAAATTCATCCCATGATGATCCACAGAAACTTTGGTACAAATTGGAGATGTCAAAAATGTGTATTTCTAAAAAATCAATATGACGGACAATCTAGTCAAGCGGACATTGAGGGTTCTTGAACATGTGTGTTGAATTTCAAGTCAGTCTGACATAGAGGATAGGGTGGTGGCCTTTCAAAACAAAATTTCTTCATCCTTAATTATAATAAGCACCATTTGCACCCAACTTCCAATCGTTGGTGAAAATTTCATGTCTCTACGATGCACCATCTCACAGGAATTTGTGAAAACATTTATGAATACTACTACTACTACTACTACTACTAATAATAATAATAATAATAATAATAATAATAATAATGATAAAACAGGACAAAAACAAAAGGGTTTCAGCCTTTTGGGCATAATATATTAAAAACATTAAAAAAGAGTGAAAATAAATGAAGGGATAGGGGTATAATAAGACAAATCTAACTGACAACTGAATGACAAATCAATTGGAGAGGAATGGAAGAAAACTCGGAAGATGTAGTTCAATACTTTCAGAACATGCTAAGCAGCAGCACCTAAGATATACTGAAATAATGACAATACAGTAAAAAAAGGTATTATGTGAATATATTATAAAACAAGTATTACTTATTACTATGGATTAAATTAAGTTCCATTGGGTGTATGAGTGTGTGTGTGTGTGTGTGTGTCACTTTCCCCGGCTCCAGTTACAACAGTGTGAGGGAGTGAGTGGGTGGAGCCACAACAGTAATTGGACAATAACTCGCGGGGAGGGCTTTTGTGCAACAGGCTGACTCGGCTGTTCTCTTTATACAGCCATGGACTTGGCCTGTGGATAGGCACACACACACAGTGGCCTGTAAAGCATCAACGCAAAATTAATTGCAAAACCGAAAACCCATGGTCCATAAGGGCGTATTGATCTGTGCAGGGTGGACCGAACGGTTCAATATTTTACCAAGGACCGTTGCATCCCTACCAGGTACACAGTTAAAAACTCCCTACTTAAGGTAAAACATTGAAAGTTTAATGTAGAATTGAGACAGGAACTTTCACTGGAAACAATACAAATTGCTGACAGCATATTTATATGTAAAATACGTTGGGGTTTTTTATAAACAAAAATACAACTTTAAGAACTGTAATTGGTTATGACAGACAGGATAGATTTATTGGTTATTTTAAACCACAAAATGAAACCTCAAAGCACAGTACTGAGGGGTCTCAAGTACAGGAATTTAATTTGACACCAATGCACAATAAAAACAAGAAACAGAGGAGATTATTGATGGCTATTTAAGATCGAAGCCAAATCGTCTGCTTTTCCATTTTGTGATGTAAACACAGACTATTAAACCTTCCATATGCTCCTGTGCTACATACTAAAACTTAATGTAGTTATTTAGTAGGCTTCATGCTAACACTTCAACTTGCTCCACACACACCATTTTGATTGGTTCTCTGCAGACACAAGCGCTCTTCCTCCCTCATAATGTAACCATTTCATGCTGAGCTGGATGTATAAAACATGCTTCATTTTCTGACTAAAGGGCAAATGCTGCTGAGTGTGTTGAGTATGTCTGTGCGAGTTGCTCCATAGAAAAACTGTTCTGTGATACAAGACACATCTGAGCCAAGTGCACTTTGCTTCAGTCTCTCTTGTTAACTGAAGACTGGGAAGAGTGTGAAACTGCTTCTTATGAGGCAGCAATTTTGGCTGAAGGAAACTAATAACTTCATCATATTACATTTTACTGGCTAAATAGTTGATACTGTGCATTTTTGTAATACATTTAAATAACTATTTTGCCATGTAAATTTGAGCAATATTTATTTTATGAGATTTTAAAATGTTTGACCTATCATTCTCTTGTTATATTATTGTTAGTGGCCTTACACTTGTGGGTGTTTATTTTTAAGCGCTAAAAATGACTGATCACTCACCCTCCTTAGGGCTTACAGAAATTATGATATAATATACAGATCCAGTGCCCCCTACAGCAAGTCCACCTGCTTGTTAACACCAAAAAAACCCCAAACATCCTCACTTAGTCATAGTCGAAAAAATGTCATGTCGAAACGATGGCTAAATTATAAAAATGACTTAATCTCCTTTCCCCCTCCTCTTTTAGTCGGCAAACAACACAGCTGTACATTATTATCATAACATACTTAGTACATTACCATGTATCAGGCCACATAGTCCACTTGATCTCAGCACATTTAACCTCTGTTATGTCATCTCCAAGTCTTTGTGGTAAGTTATTTTGTGTTTCAATATACAAAACAAGTCAAACTCACTGGGTTCGAATCAAACCTATAACCCATGTTAGAGCCTGTAAGTAGCTAGTTTAGCCGAAAGGTTTTGTGCCAAAAAATTATCCTCAACCTAACAACACATTATTTCTCCAGTGCTCCCTATGCCATGACACAGTGACAACACTGGTATTGTGTGATCACCCACAGCAATGCACAAAAAGATCAGTAACAGACAATAGGTTGGGCAGTGACACACACATACTGGCCCACTTGCCGCCGAAAGAAATCAACAACTGTTTGGTTTTAATGAGCACCGTGGTGAACAAAGCTGTAAAGCTCGACAGCCTTCATCCACAGTTAATGTTATGACATCCAGCTCTGTGGAGAGAGCATCTTAAGGACAGTTATTGAGTTAAAAAGTAATACTGATATGGTCTTGGTATTGTGTTGTTATTCAGTCTTTCACTGGAATTTTATTTAGAATGTTTTTAAACTATTAGCCTACGCATTATTATCAAATGGACTTGGGAGGGCAACCTCCATTGAGGCCATACCTGGACAAAAATGAGAGAGACAAACAGAAAGACAGACAAGCGGAAAGCCGGCCATCTTCCTCTCTTCCTCCTTCTCCTTTCGCCTGTCCTCTTCTCTCTCTCACACCAATGATAAAACAATGATTGGGTTATGAGGGAGAGAGGGATGGATGGATGGATGGATGGATGGATGGATGGATGGATGAAGGGGCAATGAAAATGATAGGCATGCTTGTGAGGAAAAGAATGTTAATAAAAAAAGAAAAACAATTGTAATGGTAATTTGCAGAGCGAGGAGCTTCCTTTTTAGGAATAACCTGCAGGAGACAAACAAGAAATAAAAAAGAAAAAAAGTTTGGGTTTAAATCTGTGCTGGTGATACATAGGTGGGTGTTTTTTTATTTTCTTTCTTTCTTTTTTTGCATACTTGTTTTTCTTCAGCATGCATATCCATGGTTGGAGAGGGCAGATGAGTGAGGGAGGCATGAAGCTTATCAAAGCATGTTTGGCTGTGCATGCAGCCACAGCCTAATTGTGCTGAAGAGGCTGATAGCTATGTTTGACAAGTGATTCTCTATTCATCCTCCAGCAACAGGCAGCTGCATCAGGTACTGCTTAGATCAAGAAACAGACTACAGCGTGGGCAGAGCTCTGGGACAAAATGATTTAACTGTGTATGCCTTGTTTATGTTTTCTTTTCAACTTCTTATAGAGCAAGCAGAGTATATCATATCAAGATACATATGTTGTGTGATTATTATTTTTTATTTATTTATGTTTTTGCTACAATATTTTAGGTTATGGAATATATTTAGCCAGCCTTTTTACTACATGCACATATTCTGGCATCCTTACATGTTTGGATCTTGTTCTTCTGTAAAAGCCATTCTTTAAAAATTATTTAGAAATGAAATACTAAGAGACTGAAAGTCAGAAAATAAGTGTTCTTCTTAAGGCAGGTGTGCACTTTAGTGCAGGGCCAAACAAAAAACAAATAAGTGAAAAAGAATTAAAATGATAAAGTCCCAATCTGCATGCATGTTACAAAGAAAAAATCCAGAAGCATTCACAACCAGTGTTCTTCTAAAGCTTTATTAATATTCTGATGCTATTTTGGTCATTTAATTCCTTACACATTTTTCAAAGTATAAGTTTTATTAAAACATCAAAATGTTGAACTCAATTTGGACATGCATGCTATTACTTTTCCCAATTCCTACCTTTCATACTTTTAGAAATATTCAATGTTTTCTGGAAGTTTCCTCTTTCAAAATAATTGACAAAATGTTTAAATTTGACACAAAATTATTCTCTTTCATGCATTTTCGACTCTTATCTCCCCAGTTATACATTCACATACAATTTCCTGTTTATTTATTTTTTTTTAAATATTTAACTTCTATACCCCTCTCACATTTTTACATTAGTGTGTATTGTACGGAATGTTCAGAGCTAGAATGGGAGACTCAACAGTTAAGGTCTTGGCAAACCAAATCCGTATTTCTCGTATGTTTGCTTAATCTGTCATCTGATAAAAATCGTTACACACAGAAACCTTGCAAACTGAGTGCATGTGTTGTATTGTTCTTTTCTTTGTGAAAATCTATATATGAGACAAAATGGAAAGACACATTTTCTTGCCTTGCTTCTCTCCACTGGAGGTATCTCTCTGGCTGTCGCCACTCTCTGCACAATGGCGACCTAAATGGGCTGAGCTGTCCTCCCTCTCTGTCGCAACACTGTCCCTCTCTCTGTCAGTCCTATTCCTCTATTACATCCTTCTGCTCATCATCATAATCCATTTAATTATTACTGAATTTGTTAAAGTAGGCTATCTAAGCTGTGAGATGATACTGTGCGCCCTGTTTCTTTTTTTTTTTTAGGTCAAAATAAAGTAAAAAATGTATTCTGTCGTACAGAAGAAGAACTCGAACTGCTTGTTGGATGTGCTGACGTATTGCGGTAAGCGAGTTGTGTCATTTCCGGTGTTTCTGTGACAGTGTCTCTGTACTGCTCTGGTGAATTCTACTAGCCTGCTTTCTCACTTCAGTTGCTTTAACGTTGTTTTAATGTCTACTTCAAGTCTTAACCCACACTGGTTCTGTTTAAGCACTTATAGCTCTCCTCCTTTCTACGACTTTCTCGCTAATCTCTTAGCTGCTGTTTGCACGTTACTAGCCTTGGTAGCTACATTAGCTTTACAGTTAGCGATGGCTTCTCCCTCTGCTCTCTCTTGCTCGGTGTGCCTAATGTTCAGTTATGCCTCTGCCTCCTTTAGCGACAGTGGTAATTGTAATAAGTGTAGCTTATTTGCTGCGTTGGAGGCGAGGCTTAGTGAATTAGAAGCGCGGCTCCGCACCATGGAAAACCATTCAGTAGCTGCGGTAGTTAGCCAGCCCCCTGTAGCCGGTGCGGAGCCACATAGCATAGCCTTAGCCTCTGCTAACTGTCCTCCGGTAACTCCCGTTCAGCCGGGAGGTTGGGTTACGGTTCGCCAGAAGCACAGCTCCAAGCAGAAGCCCACGGCTCACCACCAGCCTGTTCACGTTTCCAACCGCTTTTCCCCACTCAGCGACACACCCGCTGAGGATAAAACTCTGGTTATTGGCAGCTCTATTCTGAGGAACGTGAAGTTAGCAACACCAGCGGCCATAGTCAAATGTATCCCTGGGGCCAGAGCGGGCGACATTGAATCAAATTTAAAACTGCTGGCTAAAGCTAAACGTAGATTCAGTAAGATTGTTATTCACGTCGGCGGCAATGACACCCGGTTACGCCAATCGGAGGTCACTAAAATTAATATTGCCTCGGTGTGTGAATATGCAAAAACGATGTCGGACTCCGTAGTTTTCTCTGGACCCCTCCCAAATCTGACCAGTGATGACATGTTTAGCCGCATGTCATCATTTAACCGCTGGCTGTCCAGGTGGTGTCCAGCAAACGATGTGGGTTTTGTTAATAATTGGCAAACTTTCTGGGGAAAACCTGGTCTTATTAGGAGAGACGGCATTCACCCCACTTTGGATGGAGCTGCTCTCATTTCTAGGAACCTGGCAAATTTTATTAGTAATTTAAATCCCTGACAACCCAGAGTTGAGACCAGGACAGAGAGTTGCAGTCCTAAACGCCTCTCTGAGCTTCTAGTTCAGTTACCCAGCCATAGTTTTCATAGTTTTATACAAACGGTGTCTGTCCCCCGACCACCTAAATTATTTAAATCTAAAATTAAACAAAGAGGAGTTGTGCATAACAACCTCATAAAAATTAAAACCTCTTCTGTGACAGAAAGACAAAACAGGAGAATTAAATGCGGACTGTTAAATATCAGGTCTCTATCGTCTAAAGCAGTGTTAGTAAACGAATTAATATCAGATAATCATATTGATTTACTCAGTCTCACTGAAACCTGGCTGTGTCAAGATGAATATGTTAGTCTAAATGAGTCCACTCCTCCCAGTCATAATAATACCCACATTCCTCGAGGCAGCGGCCGAGGAGGGGGAGTTGCAGCCATTTTTAACTCTAGTCTGTTAATCAGCCCTAAACCTAAACTAGATTATAATTCATTTGAAAGCCTCGTTCTTAGTGTTTTACATCCGACCTGGAAAACCTCGCAGCCACTTTTATTTGTTATAGTGTACCGTGCTCCTGGCCCGTATTCTGAATTTGTATCTGAATTCTCAGAGTTTTTATCCAGTTTAGTTCTTAAATCAGATAAAGTTATTATTGTAGGCGATTTTAACATTCATGTCGACGTTGATAATGACTCCCTGGCTACCGCGTTTATCTCATTAATAGACTCCATTGGCTTCAGTCAGGGTGTACATGAACCCACTCACTGTTTTAACCATACCCTCGATCTAGTTCTGACGTATGGAATTGAAATTGATAACCTAAAAGTCTTTCCACAGAATCCCTTGCTATCAGATCATTATCTGATTACTTTTGATTTCTTTTTACTCGATTACACGCCACTCAGCAACAGTTACTATACTAGATGTTTATCAGATAGTGCTGTCACAAAATTTAAGGAAAAGATTACTTCGTCGTTAAATTCAATACCAATACCTTCAGTAACAGAGGTTTCCCGTGCCGACTTTAACCTCTCCCAAATTGATCATTTTGTTGATAGCGCCGTAGGCTCGCTGCGAACAACGCTCGACTCTGTAGCTCCTCTTAAAAAGAAGTTAACAAAGCAAAGAAAGTTTGCTCCTTGGTATAACTCTCAAACCCGTAGGTTAAAACAAATATCGCGAAAATTTGAAAGGAATTGGCGATTAACCAAACTGGAAGAATCTCGTTTAATCTGGACAGACAGTCTCAAAACTTATAAGAGGGGCCTCCGCAATGCCAGAGCAAACTATTACTCAGCATTAATAGAAGAAAACAAGAACAACCCCAGGTTTCTTTTCAGCACTGTAGCCAGGCTGACTGAGAGTCAAAGCTCTATTGAGCCTTGTATTCCTTTAGCCCTTAGCAGTAATGATTTTATGAGCTTTTTTAATGACAAAATTCTAACTATTAGAGGCAAAATTCATGACCTCCTGCCCTCAGATGGTAGGCCTACCTATCTAACCTCAAACACAGCTGTAGAATCTAATATATATTTAGATTGCTTCTCCCCAATTTCTCTTCAAGAATTGACCGCAGTGATTTCTTCATCTAAATCATCAACGTGTCTCTTAGACCCCATCCCAACTAGGCTACTTAAGGAGGTCTTTCCTTTAGTTAACACTCATATATTAGATATGATCAATATATCCCTATTAACAGGCTATGTACCACAGTCTTTTAAGGTAGCTGTAATTAAACCTCTCCTAAAAAAGCCCACCCTGGATCCAGAGGTGTTAGCCAACTATAGACCAATATCTAATCTTCCCTTTATGTCAAAGATCCTTGAGAAAGTAGTCGCAGACCAGCTGTGTGATTTTCTCCAGGATAATAATTTATTTGAGGAATTTCAGTCAGGATTTAGAGTGCATCATAGCACTGAGACAGCTCTAGTTAAAATTACAAATGACCTTCTGATTGCTTCAGACAAAGGACTCGTCTCTGTTCTTGTTTTATTAGATCTTAGTGCGGCGTTTGACACAATTGACCATCAAATTCTACTGCAGAGACTGGATCACTTAATTGGCCTAAAAGGTTCAGCACTAAGCTGGTTTAAATCTTATTTATCTGATCGTTTTCAATTTGTTGACGTTCGTAATGAATCATCCTTACGTACCAAAGTTTGTTTTGGAGTTCCGCAAGGTTCTGTGCTCGGACCAATCCTATTTACTCTATATATGCTTCCTTTAGGTAACATCATTAGAAA